AGTTGTTTATTGTTGTTGTTTATTATTGTTGCTATTAGTTGTTTATTGTTGTTGTTTATAGTTATCATTGTTGTTTGTCATTGTTACAGTTTATTGTTGCTCTTGTTGTTTATTGTTGTTTGTTGTTGTTTATTGTGTTGTCCAGCCTCCCGGAGGTCCCGGCGCTGGTGGACGTCCCGTGTGTTTCGGCCCAGATAGATGACTCCCTGCTGAGTCTCCTGAGGGACAGGGTGTCCCGTCACGGCTCTGTTTCATCCCACCCGCCGGTCCAAATAGAAGAACTTCAGGAAAGACCCGGCAGCATCCTGGTCCGCTGGTGCAAGGTCAGCCCGGTCCTCTGAGTCATCGCTTTATTATTTATTTATTTATTTATGGTTAATACATACGGAGCGTCTGACTCTCAGGTGGACGAGGACTTCGCTGCAGCAGATTACAGGATGCAGTACCGACGTTCAGGCAGTGGGGGGAGCCAGTATGAGGACTCCTACATAGGGAGGGACTGCGAGTTCTTGGTCCTCCACCTGGACCCTCATACAGACTACCTGTTCAGGGTCTGCGCCCGCGGAGAGGGTCGGACTGAGTGGAGCCCCTGGAGCATCCCTCAGCTGGGCTACACCACCCTGGCCCCACACGGTGGGTGGAGAAGGAACCTCCTCTGGCTCTGATTAGAGCCTGAGTCAGGTTTGTTTGTTTCTTTGTTTATTTGTTGGTTTGTTTTGGTGCAGAGTGGCGTTCAGGGACCGAGGGTTACATCCTAAGCAGCAGGAAGAACATCGCTCTGCGTAACGAGTCGTCTCAGAGCCGCTGCTCTGTCCTCTACTCCAATGCCTCCACCTACTTCTGTGGCCAAACGCTGACCTTCAAGTATGCTCACTGCTCCACGTTACTGTAACCATAACCATACTGTAACCTTACTGACATCATGACAACCTGACATCATAACAACCTGACATCATAACAACCTGACATCATGACAACCTGACATCATGACTACCTGACATCATAACAACCTGACATCATAACAACCTGACATCATGACAACCTGACATCATGACTACCTGACATCATGACTACCTGACATCATGACTACCTGACATCATAACAACCTGACATCATGACAACCTGACATCATAACAACCTGACATCATGACAACCTGACATCATAACAACCTGACATCATGACTACCTGACATCATGATAACCTGACATCATAACAACCTGACATCATGATAACATGACATCATGACAACCTGACATCATAACAACCTGACATCATGATAACCTGACATCATGACTACCTGACATCATAACAACCTGACATCATGACATCATGACTACCTGACATCATAACAACCTGACATCATGACAACCTGACATCATAACAACCTGACATCATGACAACCTGACATCATGACAACCTGACATCATAACAACCTGACATCATGACTACCTGACATCATAACAACCTGACATCATGACATCATAACAACCTGACATCATGACATCATAACAACCTGACATCATGACTACCTGACATCATGACTACCTGACATCATGACAAACTGACACAACTGTCCACTGTAAGCTCCTCAGCTTTTGTTCTTAATGGTTTTCGTTTTCTTTTAAAGCTTTGCTTTTATTTTTATACTTGTACTTTTAAAACCAGTATTTTTATACTTTTAWTTGAGTTGGTACTTGTRAAGTATMTTAATCCCAGTTATCTATACTTCTATTTGAATAATGAAGGTAAATACTTCTGACATCTCTGATGTGTCTACAGGATCTCTGCAGCGGGACAGGTGGACCTGAGGGACAGTCTAGGGGTCTGCATCGACACTCTGGAGGGGGACGAATCTCTTCAGCGAGACCAGGCCGTCTGCATCTCCACCAACGGTATTCTGACACAAACYGGGTCAGTTCACCTGGGTTAGAAAGCAGGTAACAGGTTAGCATGATAGCAGGGACCATGTTCACCTGTTAACAGGTTAGCCTCTTAACTGATTAGCAGGTGAGCAGGTTATCAGATACCAGGTTAACAGGTTCGTAGATAACAGGTTAGCATGTTAGCAGGTACCATAACAGGTTAGCTAGCCTAACCCTAACAGAGTTTTTAAACTTTCTTTTGTCTGTAAAAACATTTTGATGGTCGGATGAATGGAACGTCACCCTGCTCACATGCAGTCAGGACAGAACTTTAGCCTCGTGCTAAAGACTGCTTTAATGGTTCCTTTCTTCAGGAGCTGTTTTTGTCAACGGTAAAGAGATGACTAACCAGCTGCCTGCCATCACCGTCGGCTCCACCGTCACCTTTGACATGGAGTTGGTCAACCTGCTGCCCGCCGGCAGCAACAACCAGAGCGACGGCGTCACCTTCAAGCTGAGGGTGACCATTGGCTCCGGGAACCGGGAGGTGGTCTTTGATTGGTTGGTGGAGCAGGTGGTGGATTCGCTCTTCTTCGGCTGCTCCTTTGTTCACTCCGGATGGAAAGTTCTGGTGTTTTAAGGCGTGGCTCATCCGTTCAGAACCGCCCACTGAATGTTTGTTTTTCAGGGATGCTGCAGACGTCCAGCTAAGTTCAAGGTTCTGCTCAGTTTTTATGTTTCAAGCWGTGCACATTTAAAGTTAACCTAAAAATCTGTTTTATTTTCCACCATCAGATGTTTATTGTACAGTCCCTCTGGGGCTCTGCTCTACTGAAACCTCCAGCAGGAGGTGCAGAGGGCCCAACATGGAGCCCTGAGGGGTCCCAGAGTTAATATCTGCAGGATCTTCTTCAGTTTGGGTTTTTTCAGGGTCAAAAGTTCTGATTCTGTGGGAAGAACTGAGGGTTTTCCTGATGAATCTGGACCTTTGCTGCAGTTTGTTTTTGGTTCTRAGAGGAAGAGTTTGAATCCCAGGTTTTTATGGTTTGTATAAACTTRATGTTTACAGCTGCAGCTGCCTTGTTGCTGCTGCTTTAGTTTTGTTTTTGTGCTTCAGAATCTTTCAGAAACAGTTTGGGAGGAAGATCAGAACATTTTTTATATTTGAATGAAAATCTTCACTGTGAACTTCTGTCTGTAAAACTTTAAACCTTCAGACAGAAAATATTCAGACATTTTGAATCTAAAGGTTTTAAATTTGGTTCTGTAAGAACTTTTCTTCAGCTGAACTCTGAGCCGATCACAGCTGATCCGTYTAAATCTTTCAGATGAATTCTTTGTTTGGAGCAGACTGAACATTTAGGATTTATCTGCAGTCCAGAAGTCATTTCCAGTTAAAGTAGACCCAGTCTGACCCAGTCTGACCCAGTMWGACMGCTGCAGGTTAGATTTTAACAGTCCAGTTTAACGGCCTCGGCCCGGTCCAGTCCAGCTTTGTGTTGAAGTTGGCGGGCAGTACCTCAGTCAGACGTTAACTTTCAAACCCAGAATCCAGTCTGACGTTGGTCACTGTGGTTTGGAACAACCTGCTGCAGCTGCTTTACTTTGAACAAAAACAGTTTAATAAAGAAAAATTCATTTGTTCACAACAGAAAACTGTTTAAAACTTGTGAATATTTCCATAAAACTGTCAGAATTTCTGTTTCTGGAGGTTTGAACAAAGAAAATCTTTGAATCGTATTTATTTGGCTTTAATACATTTATTTTAAAGTTTTACTTCCAGCTTGTTTTTTAAATATTTGTCTGTTTAGGTCAAGATTTCAACAAACAGAATCTGTTTCTGTGTTTAAATGTGTAAAAAGAGGAAACTGCAGTTTTTCATTCAGCTGCCAACCGTTCAGTTTCTTTGTGGAGGTCGCTGAGACTCTGGAACAAGTCCAGCTGACGGTACAAATGTTCTGAAAGAACCTCAGAAGAACCTGACTGAAGCGTCTGTTACATTTATCAGCACATTTTGCTCAATTAAACTTTGATGTGGCAAATAAAAGCTTTTTCTTCTCTTATTTAGTCTTTATTTTTTTTTTTAATTATTTTAAAACCAAACGATGCTCCAGATCATTTTGTTAGATTGTTCAGTTGTCCTCTGGCGCCCCCAGTGGCCAAACTTCAGAACTACAAACCTGTTAGCATTTAGCATGCTAATGCTAACAGCTCMTTTTGAAAGGTGCAGCAGTGAGAAGTGATGCACTGACTCAGATATTATTTATATTTAATTATAATTTAACTGATCTTAAAGCTTTAAACGGAGCTCCAGACAGAAATGAAAACATCAGATTAGAACAAAGTTGATCTTTTATTAGAAAAACATGATTGACAGCTGGTTTCTGGACATGGCTCCTCCCACTTTGTGCAAAACGCTGCTGGTCTTGTGAAGAAACAAAAACCCAGAGAGGTTCTGTGAAACCAGAACCACACATGATCAGAGCTGGTACCAAAATAAGAGGTTCTGATGGACCGGACCTCATTCTGCAGCACCGGGTCCTGACTGGACTAAGATTCTGGGTCAGTCAGAACCAGGTCACGACCCGACCTTTAAACAAAGAAACAGAACCGAGGAAAGAGTCCGCTTTGGTCCAGGACTAAAACAAACTGTTTACACTTACAGTGTGGTACGTAAACAAACAAACAAACAAACAAACAAACAAACTAAGAGCACCTTGAACTGAGACCAGCTGACATGAACCTGAACCAGAACCAGAACCAGAACAGACAGGTCAAAGTGAGCGGCAGTGAGATCCCTGTGATTGGATCAGAACTCTGAGGTTCTGAAGACATAGAGGTTAGCACCAGAGGGTCGGACCTGAAGGTTCTGGTCCCATCATGGAGCAGGTTCTACAAGACCAGGACCAGTTCCTCCTCTTCACACCTGAACAGGTCTTCTGATCAGTTCAGGTTTAACGGACCTGGATCCTGGTTCTGCTGAAACACCTGAGAACTGTAAGATCTGGACCAGGTCCAGGATCAGACAGGTCCAGGATCAGACAGGACCAGGTCCAGGATCAGTCAGGACCAGGTCCAGGATCAGACAGGACCAGGTCCAGGATCAGACAGGACCAGGTCCAGGGTCAGACAGGACCAGGTCCAGGGTCAGACAGGATCAGGACCAGGTCCAGGTAAAAGATGAAAAACATGGAAATAAATCTTTTAAATTCATTAAGAACCAAACTCTGCAGAGAAAAGAAATCAGACCCTGATCAAACAAAAACAAGCTGAAGCTGCAGAACCTGAAGGTCTCAGAGGACGACAGAGGTCCTCTGCAGCGAGGTGGTCCCTGKTGAGTGTACTGGTTGTTCCGGGTCCTCAGACCTTTGGTCCAGTCCAGGGTTCTGTGCTGAGGAGTCACTTCAGAGCGCAGCCGAAGAGTTTCTGCTTGGAGTTTGTASTTTCTGTTTGCTGCTCCGGCTGATTGTTTCGGCTGCAGGTTTTAAACTCGGACAGGTCTGGATCTGGGTCCAGTTCTAGCAGGGACTCCACAGCTGTCTCCCAGTCCTCCTCATCTTCGTCGTCCCTGTGCAGGGTCTGGTTGTGCAGCAGGCGGAGCCGGGTCATGGCCTGGTCGATGGTGTGGGTGCTGATCAGGTTGAAGTCGTGCATGCTGATCAGGTGGAGCAGGAAGTTCTGCTGCAGGTTCTGCTCCACGATGACGGAACCGTGGTTCTGAGCAAACAGCAAGCAGGCCTCGTTCATCTGGTTATCTGCAATGAAGCTGCAGGACCACGGGCCGGGTTAGACCTGGGGCTGGTTTACACCTGGAACCAGTTTATATAAACCAGTTTACACCTGAAACCAGTTTATATAAACCAGTTTACACCTGGAACCAGTTTATATAAACCAGTTTACACCTGGAACCAGTTTATATAAACCAGTTTACACTTGGAACCAGTTTACACTGGAACCAGTTTACATAAACCAGTTTACACCTGGAACCAGTTTATATAAACCAGTTTACACCTGGAACCAGTTTATATAAACCAGTTTACACCTGAAACCAGTTTATATAAACCAGTTTACACCTGGAACCAGTTTTTATAAACCAGTTTACACCTGGAAACAGTTTATATAAACCTGTTTACACCTGGAACCAGTTTATATAAACCAGTTCACACTAGAACCAGTTTACATAAACCAGTTTACACCTAGAACCAGTTTATATAAACCAGTTTACACCTGGAACCAGTTTATAT